TCTGTCTGGCACATGACCTTCTGTCTGGCACATGACATTCTGTCTGGCACATGACCTTCTGTCTGGCACATGACCTCCTGTGTGACACATGACCTTCTGTCTGACACATGAACCCTCTGTCTGACACATGACCTTCTGTCTGGCACATGACCTTCTGTCTGACACATGACCTTCTGTCTGGCACATGACCTTCTGTCTGGCACATGAACCCTCTGTCTGGCACATGACCTTCTGTCTGGCACATGACCTTCTGTCTGGCACATGAACCCTCTGTCTGACACATGACCTTCTGTCTGGCACATGACCTTCTGTCTGGCACATGACCTCCTGTCTGGCACATGACCTCCTGTCTGTCACATGACCTTCTGTCTGGCACATGACCTCCAGTCACTCAACATTTATACAGACCAATTATTTTCGTCATTTTAATAATTACCACATAAAATGAACATTCCCTATACAATTGCCAAATTAACCACTTATGTAATCTCAGGTAACAATTCGATTTTATTTATTTTTTTTCCAGAAACTCTGCCATGCGCATCAATGCTTCGTCTCTCAACAACTAATGGTTTTATCTATGAAATAAAATACTCATTAGAAAGTGTATAAAATCAATTCCATAGTTCACGTCGTTCTATTGCTTCTCCCTCATTGTACATAGAATGTTTACACGGCAAAGTCTAGTGTAACATCATGACTTGTGTTACCCTGTAGTGAAAAAAATAATTGAATATGACAATATTGAAAGTAGTTTATAGATACTGCGCAAAATATATATTTAATCATTAATTACTACACGAATCGAATATAAAACTTAAATCAAATATTTAAAAAGCGTATCATATTACGTAATTTGATCTAATTTATTCAAGTTCAATGAGTTATCTGACATTAAAAGTAGGACTTACTTGGCAGCGAAGGTACCGGCGCCAGAATGGATGGCTGCTCGGTGATGCTGTCCCAGTCCGAGCCTGAGCTCTCGCCGCGCTTATGCGGCATTGTAACATCTAAGATACACAATTATTGTGAGAGTTGCACCTCAATTATCTATGGAAATAATACTGAGACCCTGATATTTCAACTCTATCAATAGAAAGTCAGTCCGATCAGGGCTGAATACTGGTAGGGACGCATCGTAATCATTCTCTATCAGATAACGAATTCAAGAGAACAATTTAGTTTGAAACTCGGCAGAATTCAGATTTGTTCATCTATCACTGGATCTAATATTTACATATAAACTTCTATTTATCTTAAATTTTAGCATAATTAATATGTGCTTGTTATTCACACATGTTCCTGACTCACGAACAATTTACGTAGCTAAATCTAGCATTTAGCTACGAATGTCGCCAACGCTGACATGCAACCTCTTGCGAAAAGCGAGCGTGTGTGTCTGGCGTTGCCATGACGACCCATTTATAAACAATGACACCACTGAAGGAAACGCTCTTCAATTTCCTAAACGCAGGAAAGTTTAGAAAAACACTTCAGAAACTACGGTGTTGATGGACAAATTTGAGTCTCGTATTTTAAGATTTAGAATCTTCATGAACGCATGGCTTTTAGCCATGTTATAGATAAAACATCAGAACATAGACAAAGTATTAGGAGAATATTTCTTATAAGAATCGTTCTTTCATTTGATAAGTAATTTTCCAATTTAGACTTTTTCCTATCAAGGCAAACTTCTGTGATGAACGATTTATGTTTATGTACATAAATCCATTATTGTTACATAAATGGTCTACTTCAAAAACATGTTTGGTTTAAATAAATGAAAGACGTGCATTTTTTGGTTTTGAAATTTTTAAAATGGGTATTACTCATTATTTTCCTATGCGTATTTTTATTAGAGCCATTTTCCTGGAGATTGCCGAGGGAATTCGTCGATTTCAATTATCAGCGAGTAGAACACTTCTTCAGATGACGTTGATAGATCGAAAGGCATGTATCAGGAAGTATTTTTCGTTTATTAACATTAATGCAACGAACATCAAACATTCATTTCCATGTTACAAGAAGCATCAAATTTTGAAAGAAATTTTGGTGGAAATAAGTACATGACATACGTAAACAGGATACAGCAGTACAATTTTGAACAGAAGTTGTAGGAAACATTGAATACAGAAACTTATGTAGAAAAATAAGTACACGGTGCGCATAAATATGATACAACTCAAATTTGGTACCGTGAAAATAACTCCGAAACAATCTCAAAGTTCAGAAAATCCGGTAGATATGAGATCAATAGCTGGAGTCAAATCCGTAGAGATGAGGGCTTCAGCTATCGTCGGTGGGATGGTGTCTTGTCACAGCAAGATGACGATGTTCTTGGGTTTCTCCAGCACAGTGGGCGTGACGGTCTCGTTGAGTTTGATGATGTCAGGGATGTCACGGGGCCTATTGAACTCATCGCGGATTTTGAGATGAAGTTGCTCGATTTTAATGCTCTGAGACCTTGTCTGGTTGTGAGATTCTCTCAGGTGGCAGGGCAAACGGCTGCTCAATGTCATTTATCCTCAATGCTTCCTATAACTTTAAATTAAATTTTGTTACATTCGAAGCGTCGTTAATAAATGCTGAAGCATACTTACATCGTTACGAGTGACGATGCTGAGGCATACTTGATTAAGGCAGGTTGATCTTGACGATGCTGGCGTAAGCAAAGAGAATTCCATGTCGATGTTGGCACAAACTCATGATATGTCACGCCAATGCTGACGCGAGCTTAGTCGCGCAACGATGGTGGCGCGAGCGTAGTACATCGCGCAACGATGGTGGCGCGAGCGTAGTACATCGCGCAACGATGGTGGCGCGAGCGTAGTACATCGCGCAACGATGCTGGCGCGAGCTTAGCGCATCGCGTGACGATGCAACGAATGGTATTTTAAACATCCAAGCATGAGCCGGTATATAATGCTCGTTGGAAGATGATGGGCAAGTACGAATATGAAATTGAAAAAAAAACTATCGTCGGTGGGATGGTGTCTTGTCACAGCAAGATGACGATGTTCTTGGGTTTCTCCAGCACAGTGGGCGTGACGGTCTCGTTGAGTTTGATGATGTCAGGGATGTCACGGGGCCTATTGAACTCATCGCGGATTTTGAGATGAAGTTGCTCGATTTTAATGCTCTGAGACCTTGTCTGGTTGTGAGATTCTCTCAGGTGGCAGGGCAAACGGCTGCTCAATGTCATTTATCCTCAATGCTTCCTATAACTTTAAATTAAATTTTGTTACATTCGAAGCGTCGTTAATAAATGCTGAAGCATACATACGTCGTTACGAGTGACGATGCTGAGGCATACTTGATTAAGGCAGGTTGATCTTGACGATGCTGGCGTAAGCAAAGAGAATTCCATGTCGATGTTGGCACAAACTCATGATATGTCACGCCAATGCTGACGCGAGCTTAGTCGCGCAACGATGGTGGCGCGAGCGTAGTACATCGCGCAACGATGGTGGCGCGAGCGTAGTACATCGCGCAACGATGGTGGCGCGAGCGTAGTACATCGCGCAACGATGCTGGCGCGAGCTTAGCGCATCGCGTGACGATGCAACGAATGGTATTTTAAACATCCAAGCATGAGCCGGTATATAATGCTCGTTGGAAGATGATGGGCAAGTACGAATATGAAATTGAAAAAAAACATATATATGTATGAGGGGATACATATTTCGTGATATTTTTTGTCTGTATGAGTACCTGTTCAACCATACGTTCTATCAATGATGATCTTGTGTTTAGATTAGTAACTAGTTAATGGTTGACTACATTTATTTTATGACTGAAATATTGAATCTCATTTAAGTGTGATATTATTTCTAAACTCGAGGATTTCATATATGTATGACTAAGTAATGCGTAGACCTATTTTTATTGTAGACCTATTCACTGTAACAAGGAATCTCCTTTTCTGTGATATTATCTATCGGTAGTGTTAAGTTACCGTCGTCTGCTAAGCGCCACTCGTCGTCTGCTAGCCCCGACAACGTTTAGACTAATTTCTATCATTCTATGATATGTTAATTGTAAATTATTACTTGACCTATGATTTATTCGCTTTAATGTGCGATTATTTTGTCAAACAACTTTGTTTTTATTGTGATAATTGTTGTGATTTACTGTTGTACGTAAATAAGTGCTATCAATCTACGATCCCATCGTTAAGGTAAGATGACTACGTCGCCATCTTGCGTGAGGGGACGCAATCTCGACATCTTACTGATCTTAGAGGTAGATGTTCTATAAGAAGTCGATTATAACTTGTAGTCATGTTCTAAGAAGGTTAAACTATTTATTACTGCGATTTTATCATGTGATAGTACTTCTCATTGCATTTGATAACGCTTTTAGTCAATGTCCTGTTGTCTAGATTATCTTGAGTTAGTTATCTTCGAGAGTTATTCTATCTTATATCTACTTGCAATTATCTTTATGTGACCAATGGATTATACTATGATTATATTTTATTGTAATATTCTATATTATCTATTTTTTGCATATAAACGATTTTATTAGCCCATTTTTTTGTACATTGTAAACGGGGTGTTGATGTAAGTTCATCTTAGTTGAGTTACCCCTCGCTGATGAACCTTGTGTGCTCAGTATGACTGGGTGGGTTTCCGAATATTTCAACTCAAAACTGAAGAAGTAAAGCTAAGTTTCCAAAAGAAAATTCCATCGTAGTTCTGGATATATCTTTTAAAGGGATCGACTAGCCGCCTGCTTACGGCGTAGATGGAGTTCCTGACTAGTCCTAGCTGTTTGCAGCGTTTTGGGCGGTTAATAACCGTACCATTCGCACCCTCGAGTCGTAAAGGCTTATAACCTCATTTTCCCCTATTTTATACTTGGCTAGAGAAATAAAGGAATTAAGAAGAACAAATGATAAAAATGTTCGAGTTTTATTTAAAAATCAACAAAATCTTCCTGAAAGTTGAAGATTGATCAACAAGGAAAGGTAGTAAGAAGAAAAACAAACAAACTATAACAAATTGGAATAAAATCATTTACACTTTCGATAAACTTTGACAGAATTAAAATTAACTTGGCATACGCTATGAAATCATTACGAAAAAACTGCAAATATACGTTCGAAAGTACAAGAGTAAAGTAAATATATGAATATGTATATAGAGGGAATTCGTCAGGGTTGCTCATTAATGATCAGTTCACCGGAGCAGCTCTTCCATTTTATTAGCAAGAGCGTCGAATAGCTGACATGTTACACTAAGGAGAATTATTCCGCTCAAAAAAGTTTCATTTTTAAGAATGTTCATGTCTCATAGGAGATCACTCGTTATAATCTAAAACTATATAATCTTTCGGCGTGGAGGGTCTTTCATTCCTTACTTCCTTAAACGAGATCTTAACTACAGTTACACGCTTGATTGACTAAATAGCAAGCGTCTATAACTTGTGCCGTAATGACAAATAATCCTGCCAGCTTCGATTACCTATTAGTTTAAATTTATACAAATAATAATTTATCAATGTCTAATGAAGTTTTAGACGATCTTCTATATTTCTTCCATAGATAGCTAAGTTTGTAAGCGATTGTAACATTAGCAATCCATTAAACCATTCCATATTCTCGTGCACTTTACACGGTTCTGTCAGCTCCAATTTCATCGATGATAGGTGTTGAATTGGCTGTGGCTGAGGGAGCGGGATTTGTGGTGAGCCGTCCCAGAGTTCGCCGCGCCTCCTTCGGGATGCGCGTACGTCACGACGGGGCGGTAGCCTTTCTCATCCGCGGTGTAGCTCACGATCTGCACGCGCCCGTCCGGCAAATGAACGCGATACTCTCCAGACACCTGCACAGGATTTAATTAATGAACTTGATACTCACTGGAAACCAAAACAACATTATAGCAATCAACGCTATACGCGCCTGACAACTGCACAAAATTAAATCAAATGAACGTGATACCGGCAAGACACGTGCAAAGGACACTTCACCACTTTTACATGCCTTGATATTAGGCACCTGATGTGTATTTGATGTTTACCGCGCTATATCTTTGTGCTAAAATCATCAATGTTAAGTAAGTAAAGTCTTACCGTTTTGCCATGTCTTTGCTCCTTATGCTGAAACCGAGTGCCGTGATATTTCGATTTGACGCCGTACCCAAAACGGTACGAATAAGGTCCCTGTGACGAAATATATGTTATATAAGCATCCAAAAATTCATGGCTGTGATTGAGTGTACTGAATATAGTACTTAAATATGCTAAAAATAAATACTTTATACCAAGACCTGTGAACTTAGGCGAATCTCTGGGTAAAGCTGTTTGGTTTTATAAAATAATTCCGAAGAACTGGGCATTATATTAATATTATGAAACTAAACGGAATGTATAAAAGAGTGCTCAGTGCTCGTTTTCAACCAATTCCTTATATTTAGTTTTTACAAAATGGGAAGTGTTTTAATTGAGTTCACTATCCATTGCGAGGTCGTTAAATAAGACGCTTCATGATATTCAGTTGGAAAATTTAGCTGGATGGGAAAAACTGTTGCAATACACAAGGGTTAGCTCCACGACGAGGTTTATAAATTAAGCCCAAGTCTCCAGCGGAAACCTTTGACTGAAACTCGAAATTTTCTAACCTTATATGAGGTGTGATGCTCCGTGGCTGGTTCATGTGATCCTTTTGGGCTGTAGTTTTGAGATTGTGGTTCATATGTGAAACTGGACGAAGATTTCGGCAAAACCTGGGGCTGATACACGGACGGCTCAACATAACTAGAAGTGATAAGTTTGACTGGTTTATGCGTATAGCTGTCGGCATAAACCGTTGAATGGTGAACTTGTCCCGTGTTCGGAAATGAGCTTGAGAAATGTTTCGCTTTGTATGGGGCTCCAAAATCGATGAAAGGTCGGTTCACGAAGTCAGAAATGCCTGACAGCTGAGACGGGTCAGCGAAGAAGCCATTGGTGCCCGATGGTTGTTCGAACTGATCAACAGCGCGCCCTAAAAGACTTGCATCAAAATAAGCATCGCCATTCTGTTCGTCGTCTACTAAACGCTTTGTTACGCTTCTACCTCTTGTTGAATAGTGAATAGGAATTGAACGGTTTTTAATTTCAATGCTACCCTCACGAGAGGGAGGTTCATAATATTGATCGAGAGCAATGTCATTTTTATGACTGTCGTTGTTGGATTCTTGACGTTGTGCTTCTATTATTTCAGCAATATTATTGAAGTGTCGTTTTCTTTTTCCTTCCGTTCGGTTCCGTTTTCTGTTTCTTCTCCGATTAAGATGCCGATTGCCTGAAGACATTCTAGGAAAAGTACTTAAAGTTCTTCGACGTCGATACGGCAAACTTTGGGCAACCAAAGGAACTGCTGTACTAGTCAAGTCTTCAATCGGGGAGGTTAGGGAGAGGACATTGTGAACAAACTCTTTTGGCGCCTGTAGGTGATCCCTGGGTTCGTGAAGAATATTCCATTGTTCGTTATTAATATATTTGGATTGGTCATTCAAGGCAAATAATGCACCAGCGGCTTTATCGTGGGATAAGGATGTGACATTAAAGCTTGACCTCTGGTAATGTGAATGTGGCGCCGATGCAGTGCCAGATACCAAACGTGAGCTTCTGATACGCTCATCTACTGAGGGTCTAACAAAAGCTTGTTCGTTCGGGTATTTGGGATCTATAAATCGGAGGCTACCTCTGCTTCTCCGAATTTTGGCATCACCCCATGGCAAGTATGTGTTTGGTCGAACACCGTCATCAGATACCGATCGCGATCTGAAGGATCTTGAATTCTTATCCGCTTCGTTCATAAATGTGTGTTCAAACCTGACACGATGAAAGCTGTCGAGCCAATCAGGATGCGTAGTGTTCACAAAATGGTCATCTTTATACGTGCAGCTACCGTAGCAGGTACTCGGGAGACGCAAAGCGTTATTTCCTTCCTGTACACGAGCTTTGTAGAAAGGCGAAGAAGCGGGAAAACTTATATCGTCAGTGCGAGGTGCGGGCTCGTCTTCTGCAGACGTGGCGAGTGACGACCTCTCGTCCGCTGAATGACCAACCATCGATGAAAATTGAGGATGGATTGAGCCGAACAATTTTTGAAGGCGAGGTCTGGCAGGAAATAACAATTTGTGTTGGCCACTGACTGAAGTGGACGACATCAACGAAGCCACCACGAGAAGCCATTTTGCCGCGCACTGTAATGTCAAAACGAAATGATAACATTAGAATATAGGTTATCTAACTTATATTAGTGTCATCTGCGCTTTCCCAATTGAATTAGACACGAGGTCGACTCATGCAACAGGGATTGAAAATAAAATGATAGATCTCTAAAGTGGCTCTAGAAACGAATGCAACATTCCCCTCATATGTTGACGAGCACTGAACAGGCAATTGATTGTTATTCATAAATTATAAATTATTCAAATTTATTGATATATTTATCCATGTTATTTTGTTTCATACTTTATGTAGCGCGTGAGATATTTGAATGCATTGTGTCTGAGAGCGTTTGAGTGGTTAAGACGCTCCTGTCGGCCGAGATTCTAATTGAGTTCGAATAACGCGAAAAGACTAATATTTTTTAGTATGTGCGCGAGGAATTGTAGGAATGACGCTTGTACTGGCTATTGCGGGTATTTGTTACAGGTAAAAGTCCCGCTTGCAAGCACACACCGCTAATTAAAGCTACGAATGGTAATGAATGACTCTGCCAGCGTGCTCCTTCCGTTACCGAAAACACAACAAGGAAGTGATTAGTGACTTGACACTGCGGGCTATAGTAAATGAACTTGCATCCATTTATGTTATATTAGACAGAAAACACAAGCAATGAGTGACGAAAAATAATTGCCTGTGCATATTATTGATTGCTATAGGTGATGTTAATTTCGTTAGAACAATTGATATTCAATTTCAGAATTTGATCATGCATGTAACAAAAATTTAGGAGAGATTTTCGAACATACAATTACAATTTTGAAAGTACAGAAAACCTGAGTATGAAACTTCCTAGAGTGTATCTATTACATCATAAAATATTGACCATCACACCTGACCCTGATCATATTATTATTGCCATCATGCAACAATATGTCCAGATCATGGTTACCAATACAGGTTTCGACCACCTTTCCACAGCATCACAAAAAAATAGAACATGACTTATATGCTATTTATTCCATATATGAGATTGATATATTCGATTCTCATGTATATGACTAATTTATTCCAGAGTATGACCATAATAATAGCTAGACAATGACCACGATACAACAAATGGCATTGCTACATTTTTCAGGCTTGATCATAAATGGCTATTCAACATAGCAGCAGCATCATATTTTTTCTTGGGCAATTTGAGCATGCGAATGTCACTCAAAATTTTTTTAGGTGTCATTACTATTCTTAACATGCAAGTAGTGCTATAAAATCATTCATGAACATTTCGAATTAATGTGGATTTTCATTAATTTTTCAACAACTGATCCAAATTCTTGCGTATGGAACTTATCAGTTTTGTGCTTCTTTGATTTTCGATAACATACAATTGTATAATGTACCTGTACTCTCTTTAATACGCTTTTAACGAACACCGGAGTTGGATACCGGAACACTGATTTCGATAAACAAACAGTATTTTGAACTGATTACTGTTTCGGAAGATGCATTTTTCTAAATTATGTTACTCACCAAGGAATCCATTCGTGCCCGCGACAAAACCTTCCTCGTAACGCCGTTGACGAGGAACTAAAAACGAAAACTAGCAAGAAGCCATAGCCTGCCTTCGCTTTTGCCTGTTAATTACGTTAGAGGTAACGTCAGCTGTGTCCGAATGCTGCTCACCAGCCATTCTCTATATGCACTTCTTCTGACGCAACCTCTTCGCTTTCGTTCAGTAAACTCAACCTGTGCACTGAAGCTCTTATCGACAAAAGTTGAATGCCAAGATTGGCCAGATTTGAGCGAAAATTCAAGCAGGGAATGAATGATTTTTTACAGTGATTTTGTAGGATTTTTTATTCAGGATAATGAATACCGCTGCATTGAAGATCCCTTAGTTATTCATTTAAGTAAGGTGTACTTAATGCAAGCGAAAAGTAAAAGGAGAAGGTTTTTATAATTAAGTAGTTATAGCAAGAAATGCAATTAAATCGCAATAATTAGGTTACCTTTTCAAACTGCCTGACTGAATTGAAATATGATAAATGGACAGCCTAAAGGATAGTTTAACTAGCTGCACATCATGCGAGAGACAACGGAAAATATGAACTGTAACTCTGAACTCTCAGCTCAAGAGCTGAGTACAGGGACGTGCGAAATATAAATTAACGCATTCTGTTGCCTATCTCTCGCGGAAGAATTCGCTACCTGTTTTACTTTAAACGGTAGCAATGGGATTGAGCTTGAAAAGACATATTTGCATTAACACTGAGCTCAATACGTCTGTAATACTCAATACAGAAAAACTCAATCTGTCTGTAATAAGGTTTGTATAATCCAATACCATTTGATTTCGCGCGTGAATGTACGATGGATGTCATTTGCTTAGTTAGTTTAATACTCCTGCTATATACTCGAAAATTAATGCATTTTACAGAATTTTTAATTTTTGTTAATCGATTCACTTAATGAGTTGTTTTTTGCTGATTATAGCTGTTGACTAGGCACATATAATTTTTAAGGGAGTACATTCCTGAAGTGGACAATAAACACTTGGGAAGAGATCCTATTCTCTCCAGAACCGAAAAATGTCGCTGAACCAGCTTCCGCCCTGTTCTTGTATCGGAAACGGTGGTTTTACAATACGGAAGAAAACTGCAAGTTTCACACAGATTCAGCTTTGTAAATGAATCAGCTGTAGGAATTATCCGCAAAAACTTGCAAACACTTTGGATATACTTCACAATACAATTTTGATTATCTGTCGCGGTTTTTGTTAGAATAAGGTCTGACTTCTGAGCAAGAGAGAGCAATTATTATTCATCAGCTTACTAATTTGAGATGAACAAAGGAATGTTAAACTATTACATGACAGAACGATGGCTCAACCAGTTTAAATGTCGGTTCGCTTTAATCAAGTAAATTTTAATTTTCGTTATTATTTTCATAGCAGCAAATCATTAATATGTCAGTCATCTTACTGACTATTAGAAAAAAATTCAAAACGATACATGCTTAATTCTCCGTGTAGCCACTTTCATAACTCATGGTGCCGGGAACCGGGAGTGTGATACGAATAATTTCGTTGGTGTTTTGCATTATTCCACATGTACTGTTTCTCATGCCGGATTTGTCGAAAATGATGCCTCGTACGGTCGTACCAGACTTTAAATTTCTTATAATAGAAGTTCTGCGGACGCGAAGTATCGTTTTGAAGATAATTTGCTCGATTAATAGGGTACGTCCAAGAAGTGAGATTTTGTCATAGATATTTTGAACAAGTCTTGCATCAAGATTTAGCTGCATAACACTATATATGCGACTGTGAGCCGTGCGCAATAGGTGGTAAGTTTACCTGGTCCGTAGCATCGTTCAGCTTGATTTGAGTAACTTTTAAATTTTCCTAACGCGCGGAATAGGAAATTGCCTGAGTATTGTATCATCAAATAAAGCCTTGAATTAAACCTGTTCTAATTTAGAAATTAATGCTAACCTAACTGAGCGTTGTATAACGACTCCCGATTCAACCGAGTGCCGTAGCTAAGCATCACCCTTTAGTTCGATCAACAACAGCAACAACCTTCAAAAAAGCGTTAAGGTCACAACGAATGGATTTCGAATCCGTTCTTTTATAGTTACGCATTTTAAAGGGACGTTTGTGCGCACTTTAAATCTGACTTCAGGCTCTTGCTGGTCATATGACGTCGGTGAAGATGACATTTGTTTTCCTCACGCATGACCTCTCTTTTAGCGCGAGTCAAGGAATTAACTTCTGAAATACTATTATGTTTAGAAATCGAGAAATAATTTTGAATTATAATCGATACTCGGAGTCTCAATATTCGCCGTTCAAAGTTTAAGATTAGGGGTCATGAGTCTAAATGCTCATTTTCGAAGAACGTCACAAAATTTGCGTAATTCAGCAAAGTTTTTCAAAAAATACTTGTTTTCCCAAGTAAAAGTATGGAAAACTATCAAAATTGAGCTAGATATTCAAGAGAATCATTCAAGGTTGCTTGAGATCCTGAATAACGTATGAGAAGTTCTCGCCTCTTACAAATTTTTTAAATCTTTATGACGTTAATAACACAAAACAATTAATCGTAATTAAGGCACACTCAAGTGTGCACTAAACACGGCAGAGAAGATTGACGCTGTTAAATTATATATTTTCGTAGCTTAATTTCCGTCATAAAGAGAGGAGCAATCGGCTGTACCTACTCTATATTTTTAGAGATTTGTCAGAAAATTGCTCTCTGGTGTACTACGTCTCTTTTTGATGAATTGACTGCCATGCAGTAAACTTCGTTTCGAATGTTCACTGTCATGATATAAAAGTGCCATGTACTCCATTGCAAGGTTTACATCATATATATAGGTGGCGGGATACATATATTGTGTGATATTTTTAGCGCATTTTCTCATTTATAGAAAGAAGGCGCTATTGTGCTCGTCATGTCCGTCCGTCCGTCCGCCTGTCTGTCCGTCTGTCTGTCCGCCGTGACTTCTCGGACGGACAAGAGAAGGCGCTCTCTGTCACACAGTGCAGTGAGTACTGATCTAATATTTTATTTAAGGAGTACCGTTTTGACTACACGTTATTTTGATGATATTCTTTTGTTAGATTAGCTACTCAATATGGCTGAATATATTTAGTTCATGATTTAAAAATGTAATCTCGTTTAACTGTGATATTATTTTGTTATGTCATAGGATTTAACTATTAACGTCATGGGACGAGACTGAACTTCTTGTAGCTCCAACGTGATTGGTCGAGTCAGCTGGTAGCCTCGCGTTGGTGCTCGTTTATTCCCCTCGGTGGTCTTGGACGATGGAGTGCTCGATCTCTTGAAAATTAGTTGTACTCCGAATTAGTACAGTATTACCTTGAGAATTAGTATTACCTTGTGATTAGTTTGCCAAAGGATTAAAATTATGATTACTTTATTGTATTGTGTTATATAATCTTCTTTTGTTCCTGAATTTTGAAGCTAGTCCATTCTGTTGCGCTGTAAACGAAAACAAAATTAGCTTCGATAGTTTAGAGCGCGGTTATATGTGCAGTAGAACACAAATTTTCATCTTGAATTAAACTGGGATTATAACAAAAACGAAGGGGTGGAAAAAATATAGTGACTATGTCACAAGTTCCATATATTTATTGAAATAGGTAACTGGCACAAAGAAGTAGGCGAAACCTATAGCTCAGGCTCCGGTTGGTAGGAACTTCTCACAGCGTACGCTCCCAGCCACTGACGATCGTGAAGCACTGAAGCTGTGGGTGCACAAGAGGAATTCAATTTCAGTTATAAGTTAGATACAGTTATCGTTATAGTTATAGGGCAATATTTATAGTTATAAGTCACCAGTTATAGCAATAAGTCACCAGTTATAGCTATAAGTTATCAGCTACAGCCATAAGTTATTAGTTATAGTTACAAGTTATTAGTTATAGTTACAAGTTATTAGTTATAGTTACAAGTTATTAGTTATAGTTACAAGTTATTAGTTATAGTTACAAGTTATCAGTTATAGCTACAAGTTATCAGTTATAGTTACAAGTTATCAGTTATAGTTACAAGTTATCAGTTATAGTTACAAGTTATCAGTTATAGTTACAAGTTATCAGTGATAGTTATAATTTATCAGTTATAGTTATAAGTTATCAGTTATAGTTATAAGTTATCAGTTATAGTTATAAGTTATCAGTTATAGTTATACGTTACAAGTTATAGTTTTTAGCGGATGTAAGGTTCTTCTAGGATTACTCAGGACAGCAGCACGTACGCCCCGATCATGAACCAAGAACTGCGACAACTCATTTGGCTCACCTTCACTATCAAGGGCGCACGCTAGTCCCAGGGCAGGTCCCACGCTACTATAGCTGACTCCAGAGGTCGTACGACAGACGTCGATGGCAGGACGGCACACGTCGGATGGCAGGACGGCACACGTCGGAGAACAAAACGTCGGATGACAGACGTCGGACAAAGTGCTGCCAAGTCCAATACTCGAAGGCGTATGGTTAAACTTCAGTAGGGATATTCATGAATTATCAAACATACGTGAACAGGTTGCTATCTGTTTGGCTGAAAATGAAAGGAGACCATATGAACTGTCACGACCAGACCCATGATCAAATCGTAACGTGCTGCTCCCATCAAAGAACCATTTGTATGCAATTTAACTCTAGTTTAAATTTTACTAATATTCCACTTTAATTTCACACTTAATTTCAAATATATTCACTTAAGCTAAGGCCTCTAAATCTAAGGAAGCGGCCGGAACCGTGACCGGCTAGACCGACTTCAACAACACAAGTGTGAAGACTAAGGCGCGACCGGCAGTAGTCGGCTACGCCGCTGCATATGGTCACGTCACATGCACCTGGGTTGCATCGTTTTAGACAGATTATCACAAAATGCAGGAATGTTCTTTTGCACTTTTAGTTTTCATTATTGAATTTTATCACCTCAATTAATGTAGAGGTCACAAAGTGCGAAATAAAAATTGTCTAAAAGTGAAAATCATAACTATTATATTTTAGTTATTGGAAGGTACATTCTTAA